TTTTTCTGCATAGACGAAGAAAATATTTGAAAAAGTTGGTGAAGCAACTGAAACTGCTTTGACTGTTCTCGTTGAAAAGATGAATGTTTACAATACTGATAAATCTCGTTTGTCGCCACACGAATTAGCAATGGCATCCAATACAATTATCCGTCAAAAATATAATAAAGAATTCACATTAGAATTTTCACGTGATCGAAAATCAATGTCAACCTACGTTTCGAACGCAACTAAAGGTTCAACCAGTACTGATTCGTCATCCGAAAAAATGTTTGTTAAAGGCGCACCAGAATCTGTTATTGACCGATGCACACACATTCGAGTTGGAACACAAAAAGTTCCCATGACACCACAAATTAAACAAGAGATATTGCATTTAGTTCATCAATATGGATCAGGTCGTGATACATTACGTTGTTTAGCATTAGGTACAATTGATAATCCACCACGAAAAGAAGATATGGATTTAGTAGACTCAAGAAAATTTATCACCTATGAAGTGAGAAGATTGTTTTTTTTCTTTTGAGCATATGGGGAAAAGTTATAGGAATGTTTCCTGCTTTTAGACTAATATCACATTTGTTGGTGTTGTTGGTATGCTTGACCCCCCTCGTACTGAAGTTCATGAAGCGATTGCTCGATGTCGTGATGCTGGTATTCGTGTTATTATGATAACTGGAGATAATAAGAATACAGCCGAAGCTATTTGTCGTCGTATCGGCATTTTCAATGAATTAGAAGATACGCGAGGTAAAATGCTTGGAATTTATAGTTCTTTGGAATGGGAATTTTTTTATTTGTTTCTAATTCAGGCAAAGCATTCAGTGGCCGTGAATTCGATGATCTTTCACCGGAAGAACAATCAGAAGCATGTCGTCATGCTAAAATGTTTGCTCGTGTTGATCCAGCGCATAAATCAAAAATTGTTGAATATTTACAATCACATGGTGAAATCACTGCTATGACAGGTGATGGTGTTAATGATGCACCTGCTTTGAAAAAAGCCGAAATCGGTATTGCCATGGGTTCTGGTACAGCTGTAGCTAAAACAGCCGCCGACATGGTCTTGGCTGATGATAACTTTTCATCAATTGTTGCTGCTGTTGAAGAAGGTCGAGCTATTTATAATAATACGAAGCAATTTATTCGTTACTTGATTTCATCGAATATTGGAGAGGTAATATTTTCTGTACAAGTAGAAGAACGAATAATCATTTGTTTTGCTTAGGTCGTTTGTATCTTTTTGACAGCTGCACTTGGTTTACCAGAATCATTGATTCCTGTTCAATTACTCTGGGTAAATTTAGTTACTGATGGTCTACCAGCAACAGCTCTTGGCTTCAACCCACCCGATTTGGATATCATGGAACGTCCACCACGAAAATCAAAAGAATCTCTTATTACACCATGGTTGTTCTTTCGTTATTTAGCTATCGGAAGTAAGTTGATTGAGTTGGATTGTGCTTTTTAAAATTATGAATTTCTCATTTCAGCTTATGTTGGTATCGCTGTCGTATGGAGTGCAACATGGTGGTCAATGGAAGCCACGAATGGTCCTAAACTTTCCTATTGGCATTTAGTACGTATTCAAATCTTTATGATTGGTTTTCATCTGATAGTTGAGCAAAAATATCAGTGAGAGAAAACGAAGCTAATATAATATGCATATCATGGATCTTTTAAGGTCAAGTATTATGTTATCATGATAAAAACATCTGGTAAGATATAAGGAACCAGTGTAATCAGCATGTACTTTCATATATGTATGTGTGTTTATGTATGCATCTGAATTTGATTAAAAACTAAAAGCAGAATAATTTTGCTTCGTGGGAAATGAGTTGAGAATCATAGAAACATTTAATCTTTTTGCCTATTAGCAAAACTCAATAATTTCTTTGATATCGTGCTTTTTGAAAAGCATGTATTTCACTAGACGCTTTTCTTGTTCATCAAATGGTAAAAACAAAATATTTCTCAATTTAGAAAAATCATTTCAAATGTCGCGCTGGCGACAAAGAATGGGAAGGTATTAGCTGTTCAGTTTTCGATGATCCACATCCAATGACAATGGCACTCTCAGTACTCGTCACAATTGAAATGTTAAACGCGCTTAACAGGTTTGATATCTAAATCAACATAAACTCTTCAATGAATGACTTCTGTTTTTTGTTAACAATGTAGTTTATCTGAAAATCAATCTCTTCTTAAAATGCCACCTTGGACAAACAAATATTTATTATACGCAATCGCCTTATCCATGTCATTACATATGATGATTCTTTACATTCCAATGTTTAATGTAATTGATCGTTATTTTTTTCTGAAAGATGGTCTCGAAGCATTGTTGAGTTACAAGAGTAAAAATGTAGACCCTACAGGCATTGTTCATATACTGCCTACGATCGTATATGAATGAATAGTTCATTATTATATTTCTGGAGAATTAAGTATAGTGAACGCGTAATCTTTCTATTAATATTGTGTCTTGCTCTCTCATGCTAATTCCACAAAGATTTAATGAAAAGCATCGATTGCTAAAATCTTTTCGTTTTTCCATTCATCCTAGACGGTATTTCAAATATGTCCACTTTCATTGGAAGAATGGTTGGCCGTTATAAAAATCTCTTTACCAGTTATCTTACTCGATGAAATACTCAAATTTATTGCACGACAATATATTGATCGTAAGAAATGATTTATGAGAAGATTTATAGAAAATAAATTTCTTATTTTAGGTGGTATTAAATCAAAACCAATCATAGAAGATGTTATGTCAATATTGAAAAATGATTTGGCAGGAATCGATAAAATATCAAACCATCAAGCGGCTCACATTGATTAGAACAAAAAACCAAAAAATGATATTGATTCTCAATAAATGCCTTCTTTTTTTTATCTAATTTTGAGAAAAGACAAAATTTATATTGTAAACTGGATAGAAGATTTTATCTGATAAACGGTTTCGTTTTTTTTTCTTATATTTGGTTGTATTAATACACGAAGAAGAAATTCTATGCATAGAATTATTTATTGAAAAATATTTTTAAAAAAATCTACTTGAGAAAAGTCATTATATTGACAAAATATAAAAAAAGCTCTTTGCTTTTTTTGTTTATGAACATTCGTCGATGACATTTCCGATGTCTGAATGACAGTTTTATTAATGTTCTGAGTACAATTCAGCTGAGAGCAATGCCATAGACTAAGGACAACGATGACAAGAAAATAAAATAAAATCAATAATGCAACCACGTCTTCAATTATGTACACTTGTATGTACTTGCTGAAATTATTATTTGATATATCCTTGAATTGTTTCTTGCCATTACACGATGTCTTCTTTTGTCTATTATAATAATCTGAATTTTATATAAATTTCTTCGACGTATTATTATAGGCGATCGGAAATTCTGTTTCTTGTCATCATTAATATTCATGAAAATCTCTAGTAGCTACTAAATTTTTCTTTAACTTCGTATTGATTTACTAGAAATCGATAAAAAAAAGACATTTACTAGGACTAACAATAAATTAATCTAACTCCATCTGATGAAAGACCACATATGAGATAAATAGTTACTAAATAAACAAGTCCAATGAGATCTACTAATATAGTCCGTCTATGAAAAAAAAACCTTACTCTCTATTATATTTGTCTAGTCAAATAGAATTTATTTGAATATGATAATCAAACAACTGATCAAAATACATTGTTATGTGACAAGAAAAATTTTGCATTCATGCATAGAAATAGTAACATCTGCATAAAACTAGTCTGAACAAAAAAAAATGGATTATAATTCAAATTTTGTTTATAAATGGTTTTGATTTTCTTTTTGCTGCTGTCGACTAAATTTGAATACTAATTATCGATGTTTTTTCACGACCCGACCATGGTAGATGCTAAAAATAGATTAACAGAAAAACCAAACTACTAAGCTGAATAGTTAGTTGACAAAGAACATAAATATAAATTATGTTTTTGCACATAATTTCTGTCCAATAATCGCTTGTCGTCAAGTTTGGTTTTGTCGGCAGTTTCTTTTTTCCTTGATTTTTATTAGGATTTATTGCTGTCAATGAAGATATTAATAACAACTTCCCATATGATTATATTGACTCGAAATAAGTCTAACTATTCGATGATGCTAATGATAGATTATACTGCACACATACATAGTAGACGTCTCGTTTAATTCTTCTTGTTGATATTATTCATTATTTTTAAACATATTCAGTCTAATTAAGATAAAAACCAATATCTAACTTTTTGTTTACATAAACAATAGATTCGTGTCTATAAATGAACAAGTTTCTAATTGGCCTTGTCTTTTTTCTATTGTTATAATAGCTTCCATATTTCTTTTGTAACTTGCAAAATATTCGCTCTTATACAGATGTTTCTTTCATCATGTACATTCCTTTAGTACACAATTCCTTGATTCATCTATATTTGTCTATGCTAAATAATATTTTTCTGATGGATCAGTGACATACGATCATTGTCGATCTTTAATGTAAGTAAATCTTGTAGCAGATGCAACGATATGAAAATAGACAAAAGAGCAGGACAAAAAAAATAGGCATAGATACCGGTAGGAAGTGTTGATGGAATTGGATCGATCGTCTTCCTTGTTGGTTAAATCTATGAATGATTGATGATGATGATCAATAAGAGAACGAGAGGAGGAGACACGTAAGCAGAAAACAGAACGTTCTTGCGGATGTTGATGTTATCCGTTCGCCACCTCCGTATATTAGAATGTTGAGATAGTCAGATGTTTCCTAACTCGAGCCTTATTTCATAGTATTCAAGTACATTTTCCGAACAGCACCACTTCTATGTTATTAAAGATGTGTAACTTTGTCTTTGTTCTCTTGTTGTTGTCATCCTATGTTAATATCGTTTAATGGATATATTGCTTTGTAAATTGCTATTTTACGATCTTCATTAATAATCATTCTTATCATGATTTGTCTTTCTATATTCTACTGAAAGTTTTAATATTTTCTCTACACCATTGAAATACATTATTCATGTGCTATTTTCTCTAGCGTGCCCATCGTCTTGTTTTATCTCTGCCACGAAATATACTTAGCGATAGACAGTATTAACAAAGTAGGAGTATTAGATTAAGACAATGAAACAGAAAAACAACGTTTGTACATTATATTTTAATATCAACAATTATTATTTTTGTTTCCTTTTTCGCGTTTCACTTAGCTTTGTTTTTCGGCGAGAATGTTCTCCTATTTTCTGTTAGCAATTCATCTTTGCATATGCAAGTATTAAAGATAAACTATAGTGGCAGTGCATGCGAGAACACAAGAAAATTGTTCTCACTAGATTCTAGCACCGACAGAAAAATGTTGATATGATAAAAAGAAATATTTAACAACATATGTCGGAAACAGAGAAAAGAGCGAGAAAGATAGTGCACGCAACAGAGAGAGAGAGAGACCAAATAAACATATTATGAAGTCAACAGTATGTGCCAAAGTCTTCATAAAAAATATCCTTGAACTCATCATATTTATAGACTAAGTATAAATATTTACGATGAGTCTTTTTCTGAGAGAGATTAATATGTTAAACTGAATAGGTATCTGGAGAATACCAAGGTTAAATAGTTACGTTCTGAACCACAAGAATAAAATATTGCTAAACTCGTCGTTTCCTTTTTTCCTTTTCTTGTTCTGTTTTATAATTTTTTTTCAATTAGTCGATGCACTTTATAGTTATTCTCTTGTCTTGCAAATTAACGATTCACAGATCCATAGATGTTAGTCCATTCTACTTTGGTATTTATCTATAAAATAACCAGCGTCAAGTTGATGGATGACATACACAGAATAACCTACGCAATTCGTACGACGTGTACATGTTTTCTCTGATTTTAATTATCGGAGGAGTGCGCCAAAGAATTAACCTTGTTCTCGGCATGATATCGTTTGAAGAAAACAACAACAACAACAACAACAACAACAACGACAGCAACGACAGCATGACAACAGGAGTTTTTCTCTTCCTTCTCTACATATCATTATCATCATTGCATTTATATAGGCATCTACTGACGTAAATCTATTTTCCCTATAGTTGTTCGTATTGCCAATATCGTACTGTAGGAAGGTGCCGAGTCTGTGACCAAATTGTCTAGAGTAAGGAATAGACAAAAAAGAAAATAGATGTAGAAAGGTATTCGATGATAGTCGCAAAACTGTGGTATTATTATACTTATAGATAGAACAGTAGAGAAAGGGAAAGAGAAAATGCTACTAACAAGTCAAAGATGTTCTTAGAGTTTGGGTGATATAGAAAAAACACCAAGCATCATAAGAAATTTCTCTGTTTCTGTCTTTGTCTCTCTCTCTCTCTCTCTCTCTTTCGCTGGTTGATTTTGCGGTGTATGCCTTTGTATAACAAACGATTGAGTGCTAGATCGTTTATTTCTATCTTTTCTTTACTATTCGCCGACAACAAGAACAACTCGCTGTTGTTGTTTCATTTCTTCTACGTGTGCATGGTGCCGCCTTCGATTTCTCATCTGAAATCGGCCGATTCAAACGACAACTATTTCCTTATTTTATTCTGATTTTTTAATTTAATATCTATTTTTGACGAGAAACTCTTCTTCTATTGCGGAAACTTGATTAAATAATCTTTAGTAAATTTCTATTGAATACAAGTGGTAAGTGTTAGTGAATTTTTTGAAATACGAATACGACTGGCATCTTATTGTATTATTTGTTATTTTTCATCTGGAAACGACTGAGTATGCGTGCATGTCATCAAAATAAATTAGTACTTGTAAATAATTATATCCGTTGTGTTCGCTTCAATAGATCAGGAAAGTCATTACTCACTAAATGTGTTAATAGATCGTCAAAGACATTGTTCGATTATCGTGATGCTTCTTTTCATTTGAATACTGCGACCCAGTGACACACTATAACTATGTAAATCGAAGAAGACCGAATCAAAATACAGAATAACACAAAATTTAGCTTGTAGAGCCGATAACCTTGACTATTTGCGTTATGCATTGATTGACTTCTGCTTTGTTTTTACCGATAATATAAGAAATGGTGAAATATATTCTTCTCAAGTATTTATTTTTACATGAGTACAGACTAGAATGATCTTTAATGAATTTTGAAAAAATTGATTTATTAGTTCGCCTGAAAAATAAATGAATCGATAGTACGCAATACTTGAAAATAATATTCTATGTAGTTGTCTTCTTTTTTCTATTACAAAATTTCTAACATAGTTTAATGCGTTTTTTAATCAGGATAAGTTGAAACGATGAAATGAGGTGTTTGTAACAGGTTTCTATAACTAGGCAAATATCACAGGTCTATATCCATTTTAAAAATAATATCTCAAGAGAGTATATTTCACCGTTTTATTTTCAATGAATATTGACTATTACTGTTCGTTGATTGATAATGAAAGAGAAAAAAGGCTTTATTATTGAGTTGCACGATAGGTCTTTACGCTCTGATCGCGAAAATTAACTTTTCGATCACGATGTATAAATGTTTAAGCCGAAACAAAAAACAGTAAACATTAGATTAATATCTTGAGCAATCAACCGCGTTTACGATTACTTTTTATTATTACCGATCAAATATTACCTGTAGTCCACAGAGAAATAAGCTGTATTTAATACTATTTATCATTATTTCACCGCTGACTTGTGTCAATATTATTTTACATATATATTAGACAGAGCTTCATCAAGCATATCGCCGAACTATATTGCGTGAAGACAGGTTGACGTGAATAGCGACCTCTATAATGAATTGAATTTATTTTTCATAGACATTATTTTCTGACTATATTTTTTGAATTTCTATCCAATAATGCGACAAAAAGATATCGACGATTTCTATTGATTGCATGTATTGATTGGAGCTGATCGAAACATTGATCGTTCTACAATCAAACAAGCCAACCAGCAATGAAATGCATCAATGATTGTATCACGGATGAAAGGAAAAAAACGTTAACTTTAATATATAATACATTTTCGTGTGTGTGTGTGTGTATGAGCTGTCAGTACTTAAAGAGAAGCGGTTTGTAATAAAACCTTTCAGTCACGCTCTCTGTGGGGCTACTGATCAAATAATGTTGCCTACTGTGTATTTCGCTTAAAAGTATACTTATGTGAATCGATTTTTATTCTAGATCGCCATGCATCGGCCAAGCGTGGCTCGTCGTTCGTCCGTTTCAGTGGTCGTCATCGATTATCCATGGACGAAAACTAAAGAAGACGTTGCTGCCTTCTACAATGTTGAAGAGACTAAAGGTCTCTCTGAAGAACGGGTCAAACGTGATCTTGAAAGATATGGACCCAATGGTAAAATTATCGAATAAACACAGTTAACTGTATATCATTAAAGTGATCTCTTTTCTTTTCTTTGTCTAGAACTACCTGCCGAAGAAACCAAACCACTATGGAAACTTATTCTAGAGCAATTCGACGAACTTCTAGTCAAAATTTTACTTGCTGCTGCTTGTATTTCATTTGTATGACAATAATTTTTCATTTCATTTTAATCCAATGACGTTTTTTTCTCTTCAAAATTAAGGTATTAGCTTTATTTGAAGAACACAAAGAAGAAGACAGTCTTGTAGCAGCTTTTGTAGAGCCACTTGTTATTCTTCTCATTCTAATTGCCAATGCTACAGTTGGTGTTTGGCAAGTAAGTTACATATTCATATTTGCCAATAGTCTTGATAAAACAAACGATATAAATAGGAACGGAACGCCGAAAGTGCTATTGAAGCATTGAAAGAGTATGAACCTGAAATAGCTAAAGTTGTGCGACAAAATCGACCAGGACAAATTCAACGAATTAAAGCACGTGAACTTGTTCCTGGTGATATTGTTGAAGTCGCTGTCGGTGACAAAGTACCAGCAGACATACGAATAACAACAATTCATTCAACAACACTTCGTGTTGATCAATCGTTGTTAACTGGTGAAAGTGTGTCGGTTATCAAGCATACAGATCCTGTTCCTGATCCACGTGCTGTCAATCAAGATAAAAAGAATATTTTATTTTCAGTAAGAAAAAATGACTTGAAAAAGGTTTAAATTTTTCATGAGTTAATTTAGGGAACAAATATTGCAACAGGCAAATGTCGAGGTATTGTTGTTGGAACTGGTCTAAATACAGAAATCGGTACGTGAAATTGAAATAATAACAAAACTATTTCATGTGTCGTTTCGTTTTTAGGTAAAATTCGATCTGAAATGGCTGCATCAGAAGAAGAAAAAACACCATTACAACAGAAATTGGATGAATTCGGTGAACAATTATCTAAAGTAATTCATTGCGTTGACTGTTGCACAACACAACTCTATCTTTTCTATTAAGGTTATTTCAATCATTTGCGTGGCTGTATGGGCTATCAACATTGGTCACTTCAATGATCCAGTTCATGGTGGTTCATGGCTTCGTGGAGCTATTTATTATTTTAAAATTGCTGTAGCTCTAGGTTTGTTGATCTAAGTTTTTTTCATTAAACACAAAAGGTAATCATCATTTCTAACACTATTTTAGCTGTTGCTGCAATTCCTGAGGGTTTACCAGCTGTCATCACAACTTGTCTTGCATTAGGAACACGGCGAATGGCAAAAAAGAATGCGATTGTTCG